TGGGGTTTCTACCTTGGTTTATTCATGGTTACTGAATCGAAGTCTTACTGACACAAATGGTGATAGAATATTCTAATTTAAATTTGAAATTGAAATGGATTATAGAACTTTCAGCAACGAATGTGTCTGCCCAATTGGGTTTGAAATGGATTGATATTAAAGATTAGTTTTCTACCTCAGCACAGACCTACGATGGTGGTATGGGCTTTGTCCCAGATGAATGCCAGAAGAAAAGAAGAGGCCAAATTAAAATTGTAAATCCCCTCCAAATTGGTGAAAATCACCTTCAGACACATAGATAATCAAGGAGGGGACAGTCTATAGAATGTAAAGGCTAATATATTGTAAGAATGGCCCAGTTTTCAGGGCTACAGTTGTGTACCCTGAACAGTGATCTGTATCCAGAGAGACCATATCTTCTCTAGAATTGGGGGTCCTCCTCATTTCTTACACATTTTCCTAAAAGTTTTCCCATTGTCCATCCACACAGCTGTCTTGTTTTACCGATTCATTTCCTTGACACCTCCTCTAGTCAGTCCGGGTGCCCAAGCTGATATTCCTGTGTCCATGAAATCCCATTCAAAAAATTAAATAGCTTTATTTGGGGCTTACATAGTTCTATTGATTCCTTTTCTATAATATACATTTATATGTTATGTAACCTTGATATTACCTAATATGCTAGGATATCAATTCCTATCCCTACTAAGTGAATGAGGTAAGTCATGCAGAATGTTGAGCACCTCTAAGCACAAGGTAATGAACCCCAATAAATGGCCTCTATTATTAGGCACCTACTACTTGTAAACCTACTCTAATACACTGAAAGAAAATAGGAGAAATCCAATTTACCCAATAACTTTTGGATGAGCCCATGATTTTTCTCATTCAAGTCAAATAAACAAAATCATGTTTATATTAAGCTACACTCTTGGACTTTATCATCATACACTCTCTGTCTGCTTCCTCATATCTTCCCTTTAATAGATTATGAAATCAACTGGTCCTCATCTAATAATCATCATCATCATCAACATGATAATCATATCTTTAAAAACCACTAGCAATATTTACAGAGTTTATAAGGCACCTCCCCTTATGTTTTCTTCTTTCCACAACCCTCCGTGGTTGACATTACAAGTAGAGGGGAAAGAAAGCATGTTGTAGTGTGGGGACAGATCTAAGATCCAGAGCCTGATTCTCAGAGTGTACATCTCAGTGATGGATGGGAGAGCTGTGCAATTATTAGTTCTATAGGAATATTTTTATAACACCTGCAGCCATGTCCCATCTTCAGAGAACAAATTTTGAGAAAGGCTTTTTTACAAGAAATTAGAGATTGAGTCTGATCTTAAAGAATGTAGACATTCTCTCTTGCATCTCTTCCCCTGTGAACTCCAGTCACTGACTTTGGTAAGGTTCTCCGACATCGGCTCCCAAGCTCTAATAGCAGGCAGAAAGGCAAGCAGGTAATCAGGATGTAGAGCTAAGCATATTTGCTTTTTCATTGGAATTATAGTACACAAGGCCAGAAATACGGTAGGTCATGGCATTTTTTGAAGACTTTTTTTTAGAAGAGTTTTAGGTTTACAACAAAACTGAGAGGAAGGTACAGCGATTCCCGTATACATCCTGCCACCACACTTGCTTCACTCATTTTTTACTGAGGATGGTACTTTTTTTTACCAAGAATGAACCTATACTGACACATCATTACCTCCCAAAGTCCATCATTAACATTAGGGTTCATTCTTGGTGTTGGACATTCTCTGGGTTTAGATAAATGTATAATGACATATATCTATCATTATAATTTCATAAAGAATATTTTTATTGCCTTCAAAATTCTCTGTGCTCTGCCTATTCATCTCTCCCCCACCCCGCTCCCTGGCCACCACTGATCTTTCTCCTGTGTCTATAGTTCTGCCTTTCCCAGGACATCATGTAGTTGGAATCAGGCAGCGTGGGGCTCTGCTCCCTAGGTAGTGTGCATTCAAGGTTCCTCCGTGTCTTTTCATGGTTAGCTCATTTCTTTTTAGCACTGAATGATATTCCATTTTCTAGATGTACTACAGTTTATTTATCCATTTACCTACTTAAGGACATCTTGGTTGCTCAGGTTGTGGAATGTGATGAGGAAAAAATCCAAGGGCTGAAAAAGTTGTGCTCATTAGTGTTTCTAACACTGCCACATTACTGTGACTCCATGCACATGTGTCTATCAGCTTTAAAACTGAAGGAGAGATGAACAGGGCATGTCATTTTACACATGATTTGTGTCATAGTGGGAGGATGAGAAGTGGGAATATGTCAGTTTATTATTTAAACCACAGTTCCCCAGGGCACAGAACATTCCAGGTAACAGGAGGGACTTACCTGGGGGCATGTTGCGGAGCGCAGAGTTGTTGCAGGCATAAGAGGAAGTTGGGGAAGGAAGAGGATTGTTTAAGCAGACCTGAAGGAGATGTCCTCAATCATTATTATTATTATCAACTAACTATTGTTTTTTCCCACTGTGTATCATGCACCCCAAATCCAGACTCCATCGTCATCACGGGAGGGCTTCTATCAGAGGTACATGAACATGGATGTTCGTGTTGACTTATTTTCCCAATCATTGAAAATGCTTAAAGAATATATTTTTGTGTGGGGTGGGAGATTTAGTCTTTTACACTTATGTTTTTAATCATGGAAATAGTAGTGTCCAAGTAAATGTTTGTGATTTTTTTCAACTATGTCGTTGGGGTGGAGACAAAAAAAGATTTTGACCACATATAAAGCAATTGAGGAAAAGCCTACAACTGAATTTTTTAAATAACCAATGGAGGTTGCCTTGAAAGGCTTATTTTTATTTTATCAAGCTGTAACAGGACTCTAAGTTCTAAAAGGAGAAACTTTGGGAAGAATGATTTGAGAACATCAACAATACAGAAAAAAGATTTTAGAGTTTGCGGAAAGAGAGGCCAGCACTTTCCCAGCTACTTACTGCAAATGGGTTTAAATGTGGACGACAATGACAGAACAAACACGTCTGCACAGTGTTAGCATTAAAAGGAGGCCCTCCAACAAATCAACATACCTCTCCTGGAAAAAATTGGTAGAGCCCCGAATCCTTTTCAGATTTCAGAAGAGAACACGTTTTACCTTAAGTAGTATGAGTGGTAAAGCGTTGAGAATACATTTTGTTTACATATGTATTTGTTTCATTTGTGAAACAGACCCTTTCCCTTCATTGCTGGAGGAGCCAGACTGAGAAGGCACTCAGGCAATCAAAATATTTTCAAATCCTAAAAGCCAAAGAAACATTTGCTTTTGGCTTACTTCCTGGGGTGTGTCTTTCTACGCATTTTCTTTTTAACTGGCCCTTAAGGCCCATAAACTAGGCCTCTTTAAGTCCCAAGTGGATAAAAAAGATGAAGACTAAAGGACATGTGGTAGGAATGTCCTGCAAATGATGTTTCAAGACAGTCAATGAGGTAAGTTTAAAAAGAAAAAGGTAAATATAGAACCATCCCTCTGGGTTCATGCAAAGCAGCCAAAACTATGTCACCCAGATACTTATCACAAATTCAGCTAGTAGCATATTATCAAGAACCCATTCTTAGGAGCATTTTCGTCATCCCAATCTTATTACTATGTGTACGCAGCATGCTAAGTATTGAAAATCAAATGGTATTATGGGCAAATGACCCTTTATTAGTATTCTAAATGCTGAATTGACCTCCGTTAAAAAATAACTAGATATTAAAAGAACTGAAATGATGTAGATGGTGTCTGGATATAGGGACACTGACATGTGTTTTGACAGTCCAACAAAGGGCTTGTTCAGGGAATTCACCTGTATCAGATCGTTTAAGGTGTGGCTAGCAAATCCTTACTTCTTTGAATCACATAAAATATTTGTGGGTTTCTGACAATTGCTGAAAAGTTAAATTGAAAATCCCACCCTTGGTTTCATGAGATGAAATATTTCAAAAGGATCTTTATTTTCTTGACCTTATTATTTCCAGTGAAATTTATCCTACCACTTTCATAATCTCATGCCACTGTGGACCCAGAACAAAACATCGTATTTTGTGGCATCTCTCCTGAATAAATGTCTTGGGGCCCACATATGTACAAAGTGGGGGTGGGAAAGTAGGACTGGAAAAGTAGGTTCACCAAGTCCTACAGAATGCCAAAATTATAGGGTTTTCACTAAAACCACGACGCAGGTGAATTGAGCATCTTTATCAAGCAACTACTTATATTGCAGGTAGTTTATTATATAACCTCTCATTGTCACAACAACTCAAAAGAACAGACAACACTATCATCATTTCAGAGAAGAGAAAATGGAAACTAATCATGTTTTGAGGACTTTTCCAGGGTTACCCAGATCAGGTTTTTAAATGAGGGTGACTTCAGAGGCCATATTCTTCCTGTCACACTACAACCTGCTAACTTACCACCTTGCGCAGTATAAAGAGAGTCAATGGTATTCATGGTCTGCTGTCAGCACACCCTGAGCCCCATCCCACTTTTCAACGAAGGCTCCTAAGTCCACCTGCTAATTGAACTACCAAGCCCAGCATTCCTTAGAACATCTAGGAAAGAAAGGTAACTAAAGGAGGGGAAAAAAGACTTGGTGGTAGCTCTTAGTGGAAGGAAAAGGAAGACATTCATTTCCTGCTAATCTTATTCTGTTTAAAAGGAAAAAGGGGTGCATGGAGTGAAGGGTAAGTAGAGAACATTGAAGTACTGAAAATGAGCAGAACAGCAAAGGAGAGTTGGTTTGGGTGTAATTTCTCCATCTCCTGGATCATTCCACCTTTCACTAAGTGAGAATATTCTTTTTGGCTTTCAGGCTGGTGTTGTCATGCGAGAAGTGTACGTTAATTTCATATTTTCTCATAACTTTCTTTTGGGGATAAGCATTTCGGTTTTCTGCTGTTTATTATTTCAAAGGCATCTATATGCTAATGTATTTTATGCTAATTATTTTCCTGTTTTCCCCTTAGGTTATGCTTCGTATCACCCACCAGGGAGGATCATCTCATGAAAACTTTCAAATTTGATTTTGAAAATTATTCAGAAAAAATTAAGCCACGCTATCTCCCAGTGTAGGAGAGAATATGCTCTGGAGAGTGATATAATTCACAGAAAATGGCCTGGGATAGTACTTGGGTCCTCATGCTGACAGAATCCTCTTGAGAAGAACAGCCAGGTATACAAAGCATTTGACACTGTGACACTGAAATGTTGGAAGAATAATGAAAATAAAAATCTAATAAGAGGTTTTTAGAAATAGCTAAATTACTGTGTTTGATCCAAAGAAAGAAAAGGCTGTTTTCATTCTCTACAGAGTCTGAGGTGTGTTAACTGCTTCCATTTGCTATAAATACCGTATTTTAATTGTATGTCATCATTCCTTCGTGTCACTTCTAGAAAGTTAATTCTAATGATATTAATGCCTGAAGCTGAGTTTCTGCATACAGGAAGAATCTGGTAAAGGAGGAATTTCATATAATAAGCCAGCTTGATATTTTCTTCTGGCTTTTCATTAAAAAGATTTTTTTTTAAATCAAATTGTCCTTTGCTTTGATAGTTGGTTGCAATTTATTTTTAAAAAACATAGAAATTAGCCAATTAACCTGTCTTTGAAATATTTTTTTCCAGGCATCTTCTTTTGAATAGAACCAAGGCTTAAAAACCAATTCCTGGACCTGAGATATTAAAACTTAGATCACTTTGGAGGGTATTTGACATTGGACTCCATTTGTCCCCAAGCACTTCAGGGGTGCAAAGAAAAGGCCCCCTCTGTGTTTTTCTCTGCCTTGTTATATGCCTAAGAAAAGCACAAGAGTCAGAAGCACTGGAGGATTCATACTCCAGACTTAAGTTCATTTTGTTGACCTGCCTCCTCTGAACCTATTCCTCTTTCCACCTCTCAATAGCTGCACCTAATTTCATTTCTGTTTTTTAAATCCTTTTGTTTTCAGACCCCGGCAGTGATTTCCCTCTGCATGGAGCGCAGCCCAGGTGCTGCTGTTCTCCTCTTGGTTCCTTTTCATGCCTCTTGAGCGCCAAGACACTGTCAGGAGGAGAGCTCCATCGGGGCTGGAAGGAAGGTCTCTTTCCGGAAGGGGGCCTCACAAGTGAAAGAGGCTTTCCTCCAGACAGGAGGGCTCAGGGGGAGTCTACAACACACAGGTGTAGACAGGCAGCCGGACACCAGGTGCCGGGATTGCCAACCAGCATTTCAGCACTTAGAGTCTTCACCTCACCACAGATAGGAGGACTCACGACTGGGGATGCACTTGGTAAATTGGTTAGAATAAATGATTGTCCATGAAGGGCAAAATAACAGCCTGTTGAAACCTGGCTATGTTTGATACATTCCGGTGAAGTAAAAGAGCTGCAATAGTTTTTGTGCTAAACAGCTGTGACCCATCATTATTTTCTTTTCATTCTACTTATTTCCCTGTGACAATAACAAAACAGTTATACGTTTCCCCTTTTCAAGTCGTGTTTGAAGGATCATTGGACACACACATTTGACCTTAATGCAGCCCCAGCTAAGAAGAAACTTTCTCTTCTTGCTCTTCTCTGAACATAATTCAAAGATAATTCAAATAGAAAAAGCAATTTGTGTGTGATTAGGCTCCAAAATTTATTAGGTGTAGGTGAACCATGCAATCCGATTAAGGAGGCTGCTGTGAGTGTATTATTCCCTTCATGAACTAAATTCCATAAGGATAGGAAAGATGTCTATCAACAGCTGTTAGCCTGTAGCCCTGGAAGGTGTCTGCGGTTCCTGGACTTCCAGCAGATGTTTGGTAGGCATGACTCAGTCTGTATTAGCAGCTCCAGAAATGCTGTGTGATCTGAGACCACTGTTATCCTGGGTCCTGTCATGTTAAGAGCACACAGCTTCAAAATAATAGGGACTAGAAACAGATGAGTCTGGAGTTGAGTCCCACATCAATACCTACTACATTTCCGACTCAGATGAATTTCTCAGCCTCTTTGAGCCTCATTCTCCCAATGTGTAATATGGCAGAAAAAAAAAAATCACATTTATTTTATTCAAGTTGGCTGTGAGGATCAAAGGAGATGATATATTTGCATGGTGCCCAGGCCTAGTAAATGCTCCATGAATGGTCACTACTTTTATTAATCATTATTTTTGCTAGTAATGCTACTTTTAGGATTATTATTATCATCATTATTAATAATATTAGTGGCCATGCAAAAGGCTCAGTCTTTTCTTACAGAGAACTTAAGTGGCAGAAATACAACAATGCACACATAATACTTTTTCTAATCGTGACACAGGGCCTATGAAATGAAGATGTAGAAAAGCTCACGTTGTAAGCATGATTCACTGGAAGCCACTCTACATCACAACATTTCAGTATAAACGCTTTATCTTTGTTAAATCTAAAATATTGCACAAGGTGAAGATTTTTAAAATCTACTACATTTTACTGCTTGTATCTAATCAATGTCAAATATTCAGGTAAGACTGAAAAAGTCACTGGCAGGTGAAATATTTTTTACCCTCCCTGGCAAGAATTCAGATGTCCAGCTAATGAGCTGACTTTTCCATGTGTTTGGGGTACCTGATACTGTGAAGAGCCATTTGGTGACTGGCTTCTTGTGTTTCTGGTAGTGGTGGCTTTGTTGATTACAGGGCACAATTTGAAATTCCTGAATCTCATGAGGTGTGGACTTGATCGGAACAAAGGCTTTCTGCAGGAAAAGCCATCTTGCTGGTCGAGAGGCCCTCATGAGACCAATCCTCATGTAGCCAGAATATCACAGGAAAGCCTGCAGTCAGCTCTCAAGGCCATTAACAAGTTCCAGCGTCGCTGCTAAACAGGACCAAGAGTAAATAGTCACATTTGCTTCCAAAACACGTGGCTCCTCACAGACAGAAAAGTCAGATGTTAATTAAACCTTTGCAGGGTTAGAATGGATTATGCCATTCTGTATTGAAAAGACAGCTTTGACTTCTAATCACATGCCCAGTAAAAGACTTGCAAAGTCTTTGCTAACAAAGGTCCTTATTGCATTCAGGATGCATTTAAAGTAAAAGGAGAAGCCTTTTTTCTTTATATTTGGAATGGCTCTCATAATAAAGCCTTCATTACAACAAGAACTTGAACAGCAATCTATATGATTCATTTCATTTTCACCCTTTCCTGTGGATTTCTCTCTTTCGTGAAGCTGGCCCTCAAAGGTAACGCTGACAATAAGTTAACATCCACACCCTGGTGTATTTTATGTTGTTTCATTTTAAATATTCGCACCTGGGTTAAAGTGAAGCATCATTTACCTCTCATGATGCTCCCTATACAGTAGAGGCTAAATAAACAGCAATTAGAAGGAAATAGTCTTATTAGACTTACAGCCATATTTACCTAGATTTCATATCCATTCTGTCATTCTTCACTGAAGTTGTAATTTCTCCTCAAATGGAAAAGATTTGGAATTGTTCACAGTCACAAGTGAGAGAACAAAATAAGAAGAGATGTTCATTTATAGGATTGCCTTTCTCTTATCTATTGGTCTTGCCTCCCAGACTGTCTGTCTGTCTCTGGAAAGCAAAGTCAATAAAAATTATTAGAGCTGGCATCTCACAAATGTACCCCCTTAAACCATGAAGCAGTAATGCTGTGCAGGAAATATTTTTCTGACCTTTTCAAATTGCATCCAACTGTCTCGGGAATTTCTCAGTGACTAGAGGTAATAAGGTTCAATCCGTTTTACTGGCTGGCTTCAAATTTAGTTCCTCCCAATCTCTAACTTATCTGTTCTTGGCATCCTGACTCTGGCATCCATTCTGCAAGAAATCCATGCATCTCATCTTTTTTCCCCTTCTCAGGTTTATCTAAAGGATCACACTGTGGAATCCACAACCGTGACAACTCTCCATTTATTGCCCCTTCAAAAACAAAATATTAGCATGGGAACGTTAGTGGGCATGTCCGTCTTTTGAGAAGCCCTTGTTGAATTTAATTAGCTTGTAGATTTCATCTCCGTCTGAATCTCAGTTTTTACCTATGTGATTCATGCCTCAGTAATCTTCATTATATAAAACTTCTTCAACCTCACTACACCACAGGCACTTTATAGAATATTAAAGAGGCAAATATATGTGAATTTTTCTTTTGTATTAAATTGATTTTGGTTTTTCTTCTGTGAGTCCCAATGCAGTAGACACACTCCCCCAGTAAGGATGGGAGTCACCCAAGTGTGACATGCTAAAAGGCGGCTGGGCAGCCCCATTCTTCACTGTGTTTCCTGAAGGAGAACAGAAAACAGAAGCTGGGGACACATTTTTTGACTTCATAGGAGTACTGGATGTCAGAAAACCTTGACAAGGAATTAAAAAGCTTGTCTTACTTTTCATATTTAGAGCATCTGTGTGCTGGATGTGATTCTGGGGAGATATCAATGTTTTCCTCATTTGTAGGACACACCGAATTCAAAACATACTCCGTTCTGTTGCTCCCATCCGTCGCCTTTGTACTGCCTTCTGCAGCAGTGATTATAGAGTCTTGGCTGGAAGCCCTGTGGTCACCAGAGCCTGGAACCTCTCTGTTCCTGGGCAAACAGCCACCAGGAGGATCTTTTTGAAGTTGTCCTTCTAAGAGTTGGTATTTACTTGTACAATAATTGCCAAGTTTGATCATCATAAGATACTTGGCCTTTCAAAAATGAACTCATTTCCAGCCACCCTATTCAGAAAATAGGTTTGGCAGGAGGAGGATAAAGAGCAGATGTATTTTTATTCAGAGCAATGTATTTTTTTCTTAAAAGAAACAGGGTATACTCGTGCTAGAGTTCGTCTTCAGAATATAGCTTATCCTTTCCATTAAAAAAAAATTACGGTGTTGGTGAAAGTTAAAAGGAAATGCAACAAGTATGTTTAAGAATATGAGGTTTGTTGAAGTTGCTATTTTGTCATGTGAAATTTGGTTCATTTTGATAGTAGATGTTGACCTTGGAAGGGACACTAGTCCTGATGTTGTCCCTTTAGGACCTGGGTATCATTCTCTCATATTTTGTTTAGTGGAGATGAAGATTTTGGCAGTTTTGCAAAATCAGATTTCCCCAATATTTGCCAATCAGTGTAGTGTTCTCATCACCAGCTGGGAAAGAGTGAAGACTTTCAGGTGCAGTGACTAGAGCAGATCTGGACCTTGAGTGGAGCTGCTGTGCACCTAATGGATTGAAATGCAGGTGTGTGTATGTCTGCATGCAGGTGTACAGCCATGTGTGAGGTGCGCATGCTAACTTAAGTGTGGGATGGGAGGGCAACAAACCCCAGACCAAATGATTCTAATTTCTCCCTGGGGATGTCATCTCTTAGGAAATTGGAAACTTGTGCATCCCTATGAGCCCTTCCAGAACTGAGGGGCCTAGCCTACTGGCTCTGATTATTACACATTTAGTGCCATCTTTCTTCCTATTTCTAAGGTCTCTCCTACCCTTCAGAATCAGGAGGTGGAACAAAAGCAATGTTCAGCCCTTGCACTGCAAGTGTAAAGCGACTTGAACTTCGTGGGAGAGAGTGAGGTAGTGCCAAGGTCCATTTGTAATGTTGTTTTTGTTTTGCTGGGTATTTTTAGAGTTGGAGGCTTGGTTAGGGAACAAATCAGGAACTTCCAGGCAAAGGGGCAGATGGGAATGAAAAGCTATTTAGCAGTGCCATGAATTCTGCTAGTTGCTCCTTATTGGCTAACTGCTCTTTACTGGGTTTATGCTAGAGAACTCACATAACCCCACTCACTCACCATAGGAGCCCAGGAGGACAGGCACAGCTGTCCTTGATGTATGGGGGCTGAAAGTGAGGCTTAGAATGGTTAAAATGAGTCCACCTGTAAGTGTCAGGGCCACTGTGTGAGGAGCATTATTTTTCCAATGGAAGGAAGAACATAATTCATTATTATACTCAATGGATTTTTGGCATTTTCCTCTTCCTCCTCCTCTCTTCTTACTTTGCTTCTCTTCTCCTGCTTTTGCTTGTATCAAAGAGAATGACATGAGGCCAGACTGTTCAGACACCATCCCACTGTGTCATCTTCAACAGGTCAGCCATCTGCTCTCCATTGTCATACCGTTGCTTTTAGTATAGCTACTTATTTCATTACTTTGCAAGTTTAATAAAGGCCAAGAGTTCTGGCTAGTGGCTTATATTATCGTCGCATAAAGTACTTTTTATTACCTAAAAATAATAACACAAATGGCAGAAGAAGGTGATTATATGCAGTCCTCACAAATTCACCTTCAGCCCTGCCTAATCTCTTTTGTGTTAATGATTTGCTGGGATGAAAGACTGTCTTGAGGGAAGCAGATGTTCCAAAGTATCCTTGTGAGTAACCCAGTAAAACCTCTTTCTAGGAAGATGTTTCTGAAGCAGGATATCTAGGAAATTAAATTCCTTCAAATAGACAACTAAGATCTTTTTTCTTCATCTGTTTGCCTCACCTGTCAATCTTCCAAAAATAAACATTCTGGGTTGGAAAGCAGTCTTGTCACTGTGGCCTTAGCTCAATGGAGATACCAGGGCATTAAGGATTCCATTTTGCTCTTACAGTGGTGACTAGTATACTTCCATTTGTTTCTCAGGAAAAGGGCTTGGTTATTTATTGCAGGTAAACTAGGCTCCTGTGTTGCCACAGCATCACTTAGTCTCTGATGCCAAGGCCGGCACCCTGATGGACCTCCTTTGTTCCCAGGTATATCAGAAGATGGAAAATTGATTCAAATCTAAGCAGAGCAATAGAATCTCAAAAGCTCTGTCACCACGATTCACTGCAAGCATCTCTCTTCCTAGAGTGGGTGTTCTGAAAACTTGGTCTGCACCACACTCACAGTAGATACCCCCCTTTTGAAAATTTCAAACAGAACACAAGGCAGCATGGCAGTAGATGGAAATATGATTTCAAAGCCTCTCTCTCTCTCTCTCTCTCTCTCTCTCTCTCTCTCTCTCTCAGGTCTCTTGAACATGCACGTGATCCCAGTACAGAGTTTTTCCATGAAAGCCTTTATATTTTGTGCAAGGCCCCTTCGATTCCCACTTCATATTTTGCACAAGGACCCTTATTGGAAATAAACTCAAAATAAAATAAACAAGAATAAATTGTTCTGAAACTATCTGCCACACACGGTTTATTTTCAACACTTTGCTTTCCATTACTGCTGAAGGCCAGGAAAGGACAGCATCAGCTTTAAATTTGTACATTTACTAGCGAGCACCTGCCTGTGCTTCTGTGATATACTGGCAATCTCCACATATTATCAGGGTGGCAGCAGTATTTATTTTTTTCTTAATTGGAGCCCCACTGATACCCTGTGGGATTTCCTCCCCTTGGCAAGGCAGTCTGTCTGTATAGATCCAGGGCATAGCCACCGTGGTCTATTATAATGTTATAGTCAGAAATACCAATATTGGGATCAAAATTAAACCAACACCCAGGCAAACAGTGTCTTGGCTGCCTTTGGATATTATGAGGAACTCACCGTTTTTCTCAGTGTTTATCTTTTGAGTTAAAGCGATGTCAGCAGAAATTCCAATTGAATATGCTTGATCCCGGTGTTTCCTTTTCTGTTCTAATTCTTCACCACATTGCTTGGAGAAGGGATGGGATGACTGACCAAATTACAAATACTCTTACACGTAACCAACGAGTAAACAAGCACAAGAGGTTTGAGTGTGCTATATGGGAATGTTAGTTTTTTATTATGTCTTCTTCCTTTTTAGGTGAACAATAATAGAAGATCAGCTCTAGGAAAATGCCTGGAAAACCTTAATTTTATTAAAATTTAGTTAAAATGAAATGAACAAGTAAATCCCCTTTATGTTAACTTCCAGTGTCAGAACAAGATTCGTCACCTTGGACACCCAAGGGCCACTTCGTTGCCTTTATTCGCGGTTACAGCAATTGCATTTGCTTCTGCCTTGTGCTGTTTTTAGTTTTGTCATTGGAGTTCATGAAGACTTCATCATCAGCCCTCTCATTTTCCAGAAAAAAAAAAATGCTGATATATTGAACTGGCCGCAGAAGAAGAAGAAGAAGAAGAAGATCCATCTGACATTGTAGGTTAATAGTAGGGAACAAAACACATTCATAATTAGAAGAGAAAAGGACTTCCCTTGTTCATTCCAGTTTATAATAAAAAGCCTCTCGCCAAAGTGTCTTAGCAAATAATGCATTCAGACTGAGTCGAATTACCGCCTAGCAGATTCTATTTATCTGTAGCTTAAAAAGCAGCTGCGTTTTTGTAAAAAGCAATGAATGTGGCAGTCCTACTTAAAGGTAGAAGAAAAAGAACACCCCTTGTTTTGTAATAAGGGGATTTTCAATTTAAAAGAGAGAGCGAGCCTGTTGTGTGAAGTGGGGTTATTACATTCACTGTATTCTATCTCACCCACCAGGAGGCTAATAATGAAGGGCCGGACGGAGGCCAGTACTATGAGGGTTATCTCACAGCCTCAGATGCTGGATAAGCCCAAGGAGGCGGAATAGCTTTTGGATGGCATTCAGAAAGGCCGGAGTGATGATTTGGAAGAGAAAATCTGCCTATTCTTTTCCAAGGTAAACAGTTCATTTCATCTGTCAGCTGCATGTGTCAGAATAAAAATATGTTTATATAAAGGTATCTCTAAATTTTGCCTTTAAAAAATCATTTTAGGTTTTGTGATTATTGTCCTGGCCTGCCCATCCATGGATGCATTGTTAGCAACCAGCCTTAGACAAAGGATACACTCGGAGCCTCACCACACCTAAAGCCACGCTTTGAAGGATCTGCCAAGCTCACTTTTAATCATGAGAAAGAAATTACCCACATGGAGTCAGCAGAAAATGAGAAAGTAGAGCTCGTGCTGCGAATAATTCCAGCAAGTGCCAAGGGGCTAGTTGAGGAATGGCTGCATGAAGTGAATATCTTTAGCTTGTACTTAGGGTTTGGTTAGCGTATAATCATTTTCTCTTTTAGGAGCATTGACTATCAAAAGCGCCTTTCCTAACTAAAGAGTGCTCAGAGCATTTGTCAGGATGTTGACAGATTTAATCACAGTCTCTTCCTTGTTATTTACTATGACTAATTTTACATTTGCAAATATGCAAAAGTCAATTTAGGCGGAGAGGCTTTCTGAGCCAATGACCGTTAAGAGCTGTATGTATTTGTGCGTATTGCTGTGGGTGCTTGTCCGGTAATTTCTGTCTCTGTGTATTTGCATGTCCTTGTTCTTGTCTTCTCTCTGTTGTGGGGTTTGGGAGGTTTGGCCAGCCAATGAGCTCTCAAATGTGGTCCAAGGCTTTCATTTGATTTTTGGACCAGGAAAAAAAGAATGTGTCACATCGTGATTAATGGTCAATCTGAATTTTCAATTCATATGAAAGAAGGGGGAGGAGGATATGAGCCCAGTGATGAGGCTAACCTTTTCCCTTTGGGAAGAACATGATTCAAATTAAACATCACTCTCAGTGTGAAATTAGTTTGAAGACCTTTTTTTTTTTCTTTTTTTTTTTTGGTGGTGCCTGGTTTAACCCCTTGGTGGCTGCCGCCTTTCAGCGAGGATCCGTTTCATCCCATCCCACCTCTGTGTCTGACAGCCCTAGTTCCTCTTCCTTTGCTGTATTTTCTAAAGATCAGGCCCAAGGAGCAAGAAAAGAATATTGAGTATTTTGCTATAAGCCAGCAGGTGCCAGGACGCCTTGAAACTACCCCTCAGTACTGACTGGTCAAAGGACTCGGGCCAAACTTGTAGGAAGAACCGCTGTCAGTGGAAACGCTAGGCTTGCCCTCCGCATGCCTCCTGGATGTCAGTTGGGCACCGACAGGATTCAATATGTGATTACTGTTTCTGTAGTTTGGTAGGTGGTGGGGAGAGAGAGAGTACTGAAGGGGCTGAGACAGCCAATGTATTTGCAAAAGGACAATGCTGGGGCTTTTTCACTCCTTTCCTAAGGGAAGGAGAGATGAGGGAGGGGAGGTGGGCCAGCTGGGGTGGGCATAGTAGAGGAGGTGGGGCAACTGGGAGCAGAGTGATATAGGGGAGTTGAGCCAGCTGGGGGTAGAGGTAGAGGTGGAGAGGGGGAGGTGGAAGGTAAGGCAGATGAGCAGCTGTGTTTATTTTAATACATATCATTTAACCCTCACCTAAAAACAAATTGAAGAGGTTTGGGAGTGCATTAATCTGGACCCAATTAGCATGTCTTTCTCCTTCAAAAGTGCAACCTGAGATTAATGAATATAAACTAGAGTTTCAGATGCAGCGCTTAAATCATTTGCATGTTTCATGCATGATAATTGAATTTATGTATGCTTCCTTTCATTTAACTATTTCTAGTCTCCTCCCTGTGATTCACATAAATGAAGATTTCCTCATAGTAACCTCTAGCTGGAACTAGCTTGCCTAGACCTTACTCCTAATGAGAAATTCAAGTTCTTGTTTCTTTTATTTGAATTTGAATAATACAATATTTTTTACAAAGCAGAGGACAGTGCATAATACTCTGGGACACAGTTTTAGGAGCTGGCAAATAGGCACTCCAGGTTTATTTCTGAAAGGTCAGAAAGCCCGTGAGAACTCATGGCATCGAGTTTTCAGTGGTCCTGGAAAATTGGGTTTCAGTGTGGGCACTTATAAGCATATTAATGATTCTAAGAGCTGTGTCACCTAAACGCAGCATGAAGAATGTTCTTGGGCTCTGGCCCTGGGTTACTTAGATCACTGAGGGATTTAGTGCACAGTACCATTTCTGGCATAGTTAGATATTTGCTCCATAAATGGGGAGGAGGATGTTGTCAGCTCCATGAGGGTCTGAAGGTGCATAGTTAGCAATTGTGCTCCCTTAGCATGCTAGGTTTCTTCCCCTTTCTCTTCCTTTCCTTTTTGTTATGTAGGTGTAGAAGGCTTAATGCTGAGATTCCCTCTCCCCACCAGCTTCTACATAAAATATTTGAAAGCTGGCAGTGGGCATGTAAGAAAGCTTCCTGGGGAAGAAGTTGAGGCAAAAGGCTTGCAAATAAATTTTGAAAACTGGTTTCAGTTTGTATCAGTGATTTGTCTGTCTTCTGTCTTTCCTCATGTGTTTCCGAGTCCAATGTCAAAGTGATAAGATTGTCTCCAGGAATTCTCCCCAGTGTCCTTTGTTTTTGGTGAATTCAATGGTTGAGTGTTGCTGAGTGTCTCCTGGTCTTGTTTCCTGGTCCTTGTAGCTAAGCATGTCATCAAAGGATAAAATCTTGTTAATTTGTGATGTCACAATTTAAGTGTGCTTCCTGTCATTATGTGTAGTTTAAAATGTTCCTTAATGTAGCATGAAATGATTGGTTAGCTTTGAAATGGTTGTGAAGTCATGTGAAGAAAATAAGTTTTGCATCCGACCAAGATAAATTCACTCTAGTGCTTTATGGCTTTTTATTCCTATGTGATAGTAATAAAGTCTCATGTAGGGATGGAAGCCATGAAATACATTGTGAAAAATCATCAACTAAGAAGGGGCCATCAGTTTAGAAAACATTAGCCTGTGGATCTGTGAACGTGATGGAGAAATGATTTAGTGTGTGGCTTTGCTCCATGCTGGCGTCTCTTTGAGTCTCGTGTCCCCAGATCCTGACCGCTAAGGAGCCTAGGGTGTGAGAGCTGGTCCATCTTCGCGATCACGGATTCGCGTGCACATTCAGGCTCGCACGTTTCTGTTCATCACACATTTTTCTCTCTTTTCTATTGACAAACGCGCTCTAGGAGAACCATTAATTGACAACCAGTGTGGTAGGCAGCATTCAGCCCTCCTGTCTTTGTCCAGTAGTGGTCCTTTTTCTGAATCAAAGAAGAAATAGTCACATCAGACTTGGCCTCTTGGAGATGTGGTCCAGATTGCGCTATTCCTAAGCTCCAAAAAAAAGGTATACATTGGATGGGCTAAATCAACACCTCCTCAGCTCCTTTAGTCCACTGAAGTGTTTTCCGGGTATGGGGGTAGTGCAGTAGGGAAACACCTGGTGTCAGAGGAAAGGGAGGCTTTGGGAGTGGAATCAGATGTGAATCTCTCTGCCACTGCAGCTTCATGACCTGGGGCAAGTCACTTAAACTCTGTGAGGTTCATCTTTAAATTGGGGAGAAGCAATGCACCTTTCAGGGCTTGGTGTAAAGATTAAATAAAGCAGTGCATATAGTGCCTAACAAATTATTTAGCATGTTAAAAAAAAATCCACAAAATGCAGTTTTTCTCCCTTCCTCTCTGTCTTCCCTCTCCCATTCCCTCCTCCTTTCAGATATTAGTCTAAAACAGCACTTTTAGAGAGAAAAGACTTCTTCGAGAATGTCTACTTGCACCTCCTTTCCTTATGTGGCTTAAATGCCTTGGTTGGATCAGTAATTTAATTTACTGTTTTACTTGAACTGTTTTAATGTTGATAATTGACCTGTATAGTCACTTCTACTATTTTTCTGTACATACGTTTTTCTTGTTTAATACTGACTATTGACCTATACTCATTTGTACTGTTTTCTATATTTTTTTCAATGAGAATTCTAATAAAAATGATTTTTGTGATCTTTTGCCTCTCCTTTTCCTCTGCACAAGTAGCCTGTGCTCCAAACATGTCTGAGTTGTAAGATAATGATGCCTTTTCCTTAAACTGCCCACTGGCAGTGCTAAGAGAACTATATCTTCCCTACATGTGCGTATTCGTGCACTTGGGGAAATCTGTCAATTTGGTTTTAACTTTTGCACTAGTTGATTATATATATTTAAATAGAAATAATTATTTACTGGATGGTAGATATAACTAATAACCATAGAGTAATTGTGGATAAGGAAAAGAACCTCACAAGTACACAGATGCCAAAACTTTAAAAAAATTACAGAATAATGTATATTGCTGTGAAAAACACCAGATTACAAAATAATGGATATTGCTATTAAAAAAAAACAGAATATAGTGAAAATCAGTGATACCATATTTGTATCCAGAGTTATCTTACTATAATTGAATTTGTTCTTTAATCCCCATGGTTACCCCTGTATATATACAGAACCTAGGAATGCCCCTGATACATAGTAAGTATTCCAATATTTGTGAATAAACAACTGGGAAAGGAAGGGAAGAGAAAGGGGGAAGGAAACAAGTAAAAAACTGTATCACAGTAAGAAATACATTGTATGGAAGTAGAGCAGACTCACATACACATGCAATAGTGAGGAGAGTTTAATTCTGTAGTACAGTCAATATTACTAGGCCACTCCAAATAAAATACAATGAATGAGTGGCATATACAAAATTAGAGCTCCAGAGCAAGGAAAGTTCTCTAGAATCAGGGAAAGATCCATGTCAGGACTACATCAGCTAAATTTCCATAGGCAAGAGTCAAGGATTGAAAAATTAATTTATCAAGGAATTTATAAGAAGCTCAAGTGAGTGGTTCTTGGAAAATTTTCCAACACATGAAGTGTTCTGCCCTCGAGAACACATTTACTTTTAAACATCTTCACAAGTACCATTAGAAGCAGATAGTAAATTTTAAAGGACACACTTAGATTAATTAATTACTGCTGAGTCTCAGTGGGCTGCAACCAGCTATTACCCGTGTGGGCTAGGATGAGCCTAAGCTGCCAGCAAGCCCAGGGTTCCAAGGATGGTCATGTTCTTTTCCCAGTTTCTCCCCTCCTTGATTCTTGCTTTGTGTTTAAACTCCATAGTTGCTGTAACTGTAAGGCAACTTGTGCTAAAGTGGTTGCCTTCAAGAAGGGCTTAGCATCTCCCAACAGTTCCAGATATTGAATCAGTCCTTGGATACTGGCCTTTTCAGGACTATTGGCTGGCAGTAAGTCTCACAGGGTATTCTGTGTAAAGTGCATAGAAAGGTGTTGGCCATTTGGAGCAGAAGCTTCAGGAAAAGCTATCTCC